ATGACTACTCCAAATTCTACATATTCTTTTTAACGTCAACTATTTTTCATCCAAATCAGCTAGAACAATCCACGTTAAAAGGTATACACGAAGGATTAAAAAAAGTTACGATTCCTAAACTAGCACCAGTTTTTGCAATAATAGTACCACATATTGTTCTACGTAGTACCAGTTTTTGAGCGATTAGTACCTACTTTTTTGAGCGATTAGTACCACAATATTCCATATATAATGGTATTAAAATCATTTAGGTGCAACATTCCATATATGAAACTTAAAAAAAAATATATTATAATTGTTGGATAATCCATTAATAAAACTTCATTTTATTTTTTCACCAAAAACCGTTACAATTTTTTTCTTTACTTTTTTTCTTTTAATAAAACACATTTACAATTTTTTTTCATTAATAAAACCGTTACAATTTTATAAAACCGTTATAATTGTTGGATAATCCATTAATAATTGTTGGATGAAACTAAAACCAAATATTATAATTGTTGGATAATCCATTAATAAAACCCTTACAATTTTTTTTTTTCATTTTATTAAACATTTTTCTAATAAGCTGATTGAATTTAGTGCTATAACCAAACCTCTTACAATTGCACAAAAAATAATAATAATAACAATATAATGATAATATTATAATAATATAATAGTAATAATAATAATAACAACAACAACAACAACAACAATTTCAATAGTTTTTTAGCATAACTAATAAGTCAGGATCCTCAAATTTATAAATATTAAATTATTCATTTCATTTTATGCAATCAACAGTGATAAAATTTAATACTTTTATGATCTTTATTTTTACTAATGTAAAAATTTTTAAAATGTGATACAATTATTTAACATAATTGAATTTTAATATTATATAACTAAATATAAATTAAATATCTATGCAAGTGCACATAATCAAATACTAGTTAATATTTATAACCTACCTAAATTTAATTATTAATTATAATATTATATTTATTTTATTATATAATTAATAAATATATTTCAAATAAATATTAATAGAAGAAATTGAGGATGTATATAATTATGTCCGTTAATTAATTTTAACTCATTATTTTAAACACATCAATTTAAAAAAAGTTTAAAATATAGAAATAATGTTTATTTTTTTTCAATATAACTTTTTGAATTAAACAAAAAATATAAAATTATGAATTTTATTAGTACAAAATTCATATAGATAAACATGATATATCACGCATTAAATTGGTCAATATAAATTCGTGTTGCGTAAGCTATTAGAGTATAAAATTTGTTTGTTAAAAATTTCAAAATAATTGCATGTAATAAAATGAGGGAGATTTTATTTTGGTATGAAACGTTCGAATTTAAATGGTATGAATTTCATTTGGTATTGATAGAAGTGTATTTGAAAATTTTTAACATAAATAAGTGGTATGAATTTTATTTGGTATGGGTATGAAAGTCGAATTTTAGGTTGATTTGTTATAAAATTAAGGTGATATGATTATCAAATTTTAGCATATTTATATAATAACTTTCCATAAGATATTGATGATAATTTAATAAATTGGTATGTATTCCTCTTAAAATTTAAAACTTTGAATAAATATTTCTTAATGAAATCTATAATTCTAGAGAATTAATTGATAAATTTGAACGGCGAGGTAACCGACAACAAACCTAAAAATTTGTGAGATTAGTGAAATATAGATTGGTATAAAATATATAAGGGATTTTATTGTGTAGTCCAATTTTAGTTTTTAAATTTAAAAGAAAAAATAAGTAATTATTCATAATTTACTGGTCAATATTAACTTGGACGTAAATAAAATAGTCTATTATTTATAGTTTCTCAATTATTAAATTATTTTTATTAGGACAAATAAATTTATTTTAATTATTGAAAAATATAAATTTTAGTATTATACATATTATTCACATAGATTTTTAAATATATGATAAATTTTACATTTTTTTTTTGTGGAACCACATTGTATTCAAATTGAATTTTTGAATAAAAGTTTTAAAATGACATTTATTTTGAAATAAATATAGTGTAATTTATTATCAGTTATGTACACCGTACGAGTTATGTACTAATTTTAAATAGACATATCTTATGTAATTTTGCACAATTTAAATTTTATATAATATTTTCAATAAAATAATATAAGGGGCATATTACATATTTATTTCATATTTTTATTTTATAAATATTAAAAAATAATTAAAATTGAGTAAAAAGAGAGAGAAAAAATAATTAAAAAATGTGTAATGGGGAGAGAAAAAATAATAAAAAAATCGTAGTGGAGAAAGAAGAAATAATAAAAAATGAAAAAATTGAGTTGTTAGTGGGATGATGCAATATTATATTTTCTTTTTCAATTAATTTAATGGGAGGGATTTAAAAGGAACTTAAATAGTGGGGTAGGTAGTAAAAAGAAAAGAAAATAGGGAGAGGGACTGACATGGAACTTGATTATGGGTTTGGGGATTAATAAAGAAAGCTCCCATAATTTTTCAAACTAGAACTTTTTTTCTTAATTAGAAGGAGTATCAATAGTGTTTCTACATCCCTTCATTGGTGACTCGAACTCATGATCTATCGGTCATAGCTGCGTTTCGTTGTCTTTTCAAATTGCAACTTAAGTTCCAATGAATTCTAGTCTTAATTTGTAAGACGACTTCTAGGCTTACACGTCTTCTTTTGGATTTTAAAAAGATGTAAAAACAAGAATTTTAAAAGGTTTTCTTCTTTATTTTCCTTATAATGGTATGCTTTGAGCTTATTTTCAATTTGTCGGATTTTAATTTAATTTTAACTTTGAATCACAATATGTTACAATTTCGATGTGTTGTTACAACAATAAGCTAGTGAACTCAAGTTGATATTTCTAGTTTTTACAATATAAACTAGAACTACCAAATTACAATAGAACATGATGCTAGAAGAGAATACACCTTAGCAAGAATTAATGAATTAATGTGCGGATAGATTCAGGCGCTCGTCTCTATAGACACAACGGCTAGAATCGTTCGAAATCGACCCCAATATAAGCTATCGTAGGGAGTTTATTAAAACCATTTAATATTAAATATGGTAAAGTAGCTCCAGGCTGGGGAACGACCCCTTTCGAGCTCCTGTGAATTTGAGTGGGGTAAGAACTGAGCACATAAACAAGATGCGTGAAAGTTTAAGTGAAATGATTCGTGAAAATGTATCCTTTTGCAGCTACATGTAGGTTTGTTCTATATATAGAACTTCTACCCAAAAGGTTGAGGCAATAACAACCATTAATAGTTGTTGTAGTGGACACTAAAAGGCCAAATGTTATACCTGTCGTTTTCAGGTTTTTACACACCATCTGTTCTACCTTTTAATCTCTGTAATTGTCAGATAGAGTCCACGTATCCAAATACACCGTATTTGGTGATGTCATTACGTGTTGTGTGAAATCTCAACTCAATTTGGTTTTATTTTGGGTCACAAAAATGCAAATAAATTTGCAGTAAAAGAATGGGAAATTTTTAGGTCTGCTACGTGATCTTAAATTAATTGCAACTCTACCATACAAGTAGAAATAATTGTGTCTCTACCTAAAGTACCTTATTTATCTATATTAATTCCTAAAGTCAGTTACCATATCCTTTCAACCTCCATCACCCTAAAGTCAGTTACCATATCCTTTCAACCTCCATCCACCTTTTTATGCACTTGATTAAGAGAGAGAAATGAAAACATGCATATAATAAATAACTGACTCCTTTTAATTCTTTAATTCGCGCAGCTTACAATGTTTCTAATAGAGAAGCATGTATTGTAATTCACACTGCTGTCTAGGTGGGTATATAGTACATATTCGGTGTATGTTGCAACGAAAAACATGTCTTCCATAAAAAATTATGTCTTCTTGCATTTTTTTTTTCCAAGTTTAACGTTCATTGAACCATATTGTCTTGCTTTAAATCAGTTTTTGAATATGTTTTAGTATATGTTGAGTTTATGTATTGTTTATTTTACTTTTATGCTTTGTAAACAATTTTAGTAAAAAATAAACCATACATATACCAAAACAACAAAAAACATCAGATTGCTCCTTTGTCAAATTCGTTTTCAACAACAAAAAATTCTAATATACCAAACATAAACTATGAATCGGTTTTGCTATGAAGCCAACAGTTGGCTCTATAGTGGAGCCAACCTTCTATATACAATATGTAAACCTACCATATTCTCTGATTACTTAAATAACACTAATATAATTTTATTAATATAGTATGTTTATTTGTTGTATATAGAAGGTTGGCTCCACTATAGAGCCAACTGTTGTACATAACTAATTGTACATAACTAATATACCAAACTAATGACATCCATTGTATATAAAAAAAAAAATCCATTCACACAAACTAATTGTACATAACTAATATACCAAACATAAACTAAGATATACAATAACTGTACATATCGGGTGCATATACTTTACATATATTGTTCATAAACTAATTTGTATAATGAAAAAATCGAACCAAACATCGATTTTCCGACCGTGAGCAGTAAGCTACCAGCAGAGGAGCAGCGATCCACGCAGCCATCGCCGAGGATCTCCATCCGCGAGTCACCGAACACGCGAGGCCTGCAACCGCCATCAACCGCCGTCGGCATCCGTTCACCACTCGTCATCGCCGCCCGCGAACAGCACCTGCTTAGGAGTCGCAAGAACAATCAGCCAGAGGGCCTTCCACATTTGAGTAGCCTCCGAGCAACCCATCGCGAACACTTTTTCCCGTTGACGAGACCACCGGCGACGGCCCCGCATACGAACAACACCGCGCCGGAGAGCCGTCTGAGATGCTGCTAGAAACGAGACAAGAGAGATATGGTGACGGCCATCTTTTCTGATGATGCCGCCGCAAACAAACCGAAATATATATCCTAGCTTTAGGGTTTACAATTAACATAAATGCACCTATATATATCCTAGCTTTAGGGTTTACAATTAACATAAATACACCTATTGCTAATACAATAAATATAAATATAATACACAATAACACCTCCTCAAGTTGGAGCATGCGGATTCCGAATGCCCTGCCCAACTTGCCAAGAAAGAAATCAAATTCACGTTTCCCAAGCGCTTTGGTAAAGATGTCAGCCAGCTGTGAGCCAGAGGGAACATGAGTGGTAGAGATGAAACCCTGCATAAGAGCATCACGAACAAAGTGACAATCCACCTCAATGTGTTTAGTGCACTTGTGAAAAATCGGATTCGCAGCAATATGCAGAGCAAACTGACGGTCATAATGCAACTGCACAGGCTGAGAATGACCGACACCAAGACAAGGCAACAATCCCCGTAACCACTTCAACTCGCACAAGGTAGTAGTCATCGCCCGATATTCAGCCTCATCAGAAGAGCGAGCAACAGTATGTTGTTTCTTGGTTCGCCAAGAAACAGAAGACTGACCCAACTGAACAAATCAACCCGAAAGAGATCGTCTCGTGAAGGGACAAGTCGCCCAATCCGAATCACACCACGCATAAAGTTGAAGATCACAGTCAGAACGAAGAAGGATCCCCTGACCCGGAGAGCCCTTCAAATACCAAATCACACGCAGTGCAGCGTCCTAGTGAGACTGGCGTGGTTGATGTATGAACTGAGCAAGCATATGCACAGAATAGGATAACTCAGGGCGAGTAACTGCTAGATAAATAAGTCGCCCAACCAAACGTCGATAACGTTCAGGATCGGACAACAAAGCACACTCAGCGAGAGGAAGCTGATGATTTTGCTCCAACGGGAAATCAACAGGTTTGCTTCCTAACAGTCCGGCTTTAGTAATAATGTCAAGAGCATACTTCCGCTGACAAAGAAAGAAGCCAGAAGCATTTCTGGCAACCTCGATACCCAAAAAATACTTAAGCGATCCAAGATCCTTCATGTGGAAACAACGATTCAAATAACTCTTAAAAGCTGCAATGGAAGTGGTATCATTACCAGAAATAATCAGATCATCGACATACACCAAAACCTACAGATGAACAGAACCACGATGCAGGGTAAAAAGAGAGTAATCAAGGTAGAACTGACAGAAACCATAGTGTTTGAGAGCCGTTGCCAACTTGGCAAACCAACAGTTGGGGAACCTGCTTCAAGCCATATAGAGAACGACGAAGACGAAAAGCTTGTCCATCAACACCAGTTCGAAAGCCGGGGGGAACTTAATATACACCCCCTCATCCAAATCACCATGCAGAAAAGCATTGTGAACGTCCATTTGGTGAACTTCCCAATGCCTGGCAGCAGCTACAACCAAAAACCGTCGGACTGTACCCATTTAGGCGACTGGAGCAAAAGTCTCATGATAATTAAGACCTTCCACTTGATTGTTCCCCAAAATTACCAGACGTGCTTTATAGCGCTCAATAGTACCATCGGCCTTGTGTTTGACCTTAAAGACCCATTTGCACCCAATAGCACGTTTCCCAGATGGGAGAGACAACACATCCCACGTGCCATTATTTTCCAGAGCACGAATCTCATCCTGCATAGCAGCTCTCCATCGAGGGACTGCCACAGCGTCAGCAAAACCACAAGGCTCGGCAGCAGAGGCGACAACAACTAAGAATGTCCGATGAGCTAGAGAAAAAGACTCACAAGAAACGTAATGTGCTATGGGATAAAGCGTACCTGAGGATCAGGCGAGGGACAGACAATATCAACCACAAAGTCCTTCAGTCGAGTAGAAGGAATCTTAGTCCGATGACCACGACCTAGAGGTTCCATCCGAGGAGAAGGCGCCGCTGGAGGAGAAGCAGAACCCCCCTGTCATCGGATGCACTCATATCAATAGAAACAACCCCAGTGTCAGAAGATACGGGTGGCACAGAGATCACTGGTGGCTCCTCATCACCTGGGTCAGAAAAAATCAGCAACACTGAAGGTAATTGTAGAGAGTCGGAACCAGATGAGGCAGAAAAATGCGGAAACTCAGTCTCCAGAAACTACACATCACGGGAAACAAAAAAATCTGACGATCCAAGTCATACAAACTCCACCCCTTCTTGCCAATTGGATATCCCACAAACACACAACGACGACTCCTAGTAGCAAACTTATCACCATTACGGTCTTGGTTATGAGCATAGCAAAGACAACCAAAAACATGTAAATGAGACAAGAGAGGAGATGAGCCGTAAAGAATCTCATACGGAGTTTTACCATGCAAAATCGATGAATGAGTACGATCGATCAAATAAGCCGCAGTCAGAACACAATAACCCCAAAAAGGAAGCGGCAAGTGAGCTTGGAACCGCAAGCCACGAGCGACATTTAGAATGTGATGATGCTTGCGTTCCAGACGCCCATTCTGCTGAGGGGTGCCAACACAAGAGGTCTCATGCAAAATCCCTTCTCGGCGAAAATAAGAGGCCAAACACAAAAACTCAGTCCCATTATCACTACGAACAACATGCACCAATTTCCCAAATTGCCTCTTAATCATGGCAAAAAAAATTCATCAGAGTAGAAGCAACCTCCGTTTTATCATTTAATAAGTAAATCAATGTCCCACGAGAACAATCATCCACAATAGTTAAAAAGTATTGTGCACCACAAAAGGCGGGAACACGATAGTGACCCCACAAATCATAGTGAATCAAATGAAAAATCTCATGACTAACAGTCTGACTGAGAGGAAAGCTACGACGATGTTGTTTAGCACGAAAACACGCATTACAAGATTTATTCAAACCATGACTACTAGAATCAATAATAAGAAGCTGCGACAATACTTGGGCAGACGGATGACCCAGACGCTGATGCCACACATCGACAGAAACTCTCTGAACATGAGAGACCACTGTAGAAATTGTCCCTCGAAAGAAGTAGAGACCCTCAAACTGCTCACCCACACCAATCACCTTCCTCGAAATACGGTCCTGAATAACACACAATTTATTAGTAAATTGGGCGGTGCAGTCAGAATGATCCAACAATTGATATAAAGAAATCAAGCTACAACGAAGACTGGAACGTATAAAACATCATAAAGGGTGATATGAGAACCCAAATAAACAGTTCCAGCCTTGCTAGCCATAGTCAAAGAACCATTAGGAAACTGAACGGGGCGAGCAGGAATATTCCGAATATCAGAAATAAAATCCATGAATCCTGTCATATGATGAGTTGGCCCATAGTCGTACATCCAATCAAATAAACGACGTTTACCAGACAAGTGATTGTCCTGTTTAGCGGAGTTTACCAAAGTCACAATGTGAGACCATTGAGCATTGGTTAATCCACTAAGTGGTAGACGATCAGAATCAGTCAAAGGAGCATTTCCAGGAGAAGAACCGATACTACCGGCAATGAACGGCTCACCCGTAATGACAGAAACAGCGGCATTTGCACGAGCGCTGATAGGTCGAAAACTGTGCACATTTTATATATTTAATAGTGTATTTTTATACACTATATTTATTCGCATGTTTATATTTTTTTCGACTTATTTATTATTTGGATGAATTCATACACATGGATATTTTTATATTTATTTTCAGCTCATTGGAGTATTTTATAGATGCAAAGCATTTGACGAGAGTTCACACGAGTCATTGTTGGGCCCACCCGGCCAATTAAAGCCCACAAGAATTTAAATGAAATCAAAACACACCGCATGGCCTAGACATTTGTGGACTTGAGGAAGAGTTATTAATGTTTGGAAATTAATTTTCCTAAGTGAGCCACGCAGCAAGTCATATAATTTGGAAGGATAATTGTGGGATCACTTTGAATTAATTGGGGAACACATGTATTAGCTGCAAGGGATTACTCACGCAAGATTATTTGTTGAGAAAGACTCCCTCTCACGTAGGGAACTGGGAATTATTTTCCAAGGCACCACTCACGCATATCATATCGAGAGAAAAAAAGAACGGAGAGGATTTATTTACGCGGAAGCCAAGAGGAGAAAAAAAGACGCAGCAGCACAGAGAGACGCACGCACAGGAAAAAGAGCTACATACGCGGAGGGAAGCCGCACCCGCACACAAGGGAGATATTTATTCTCTCTTTTCTCTTTTATCTTTTATTTATTTTTATTAGTATGTTAGGCTAAACTTTTATCCAGTTTTAGGGAATGTTTGAACCCTAACTTGAATTTGTCTATGAATTTGAGGATTTATTTTTATCGTTAGTTAATCGAGACGCCGTATTTATTTTTGTTGATGAGTTGATTCATGTTATCTGTTTATAACGTTTATGAATTATGGTGTTTGATTTAGTCTGGCCAACTACGTTAAATATTCATAGTTTAATTGCTAGATTCGAGACTTTAATCCGTAATTGTTATTGTCTTGTTTCGTTAGTAGTAAACTAGGGGTCGTGCATCTCTAGGGTAGCATGAGCATAAGTTAAATGGTCCGAGCTTTTGCGTCCATTGCTTAGACTGATCTATTTTCTTAGTAATTAATGCTGCTAGTGAACTAAATCTAGAGAGCTTATTCTAGGTTGTCCATTAGTTAGGTTTAGTCGAAGAGCTTATTTCGATTAAATATTCGGTTAGGAAAAATTTGGTTAACAGAGCTTGTTGTTAGCTAGGGTCGGTAATTCATTAGCATTCTAGAGAAAGCGTCGAAATTAATTAACGGTAGATTTAGATTGGGTGATAACTGAACCGAAAACTGGACTTCTCTTATTTTATTAGATTTTTATTTTATTTTATTATTTTTATTTTTATTTTTATAAAACCAATCCCCCCCATCTTTTATTGTTTTCTTAGTTTTAATTTAATTAATACGAAATTGTCACAATTTAATTCCTACTCTTCGTGGGATCGACCCTTACTCGCCACTACTACTAGTTAGTAGAGGTTAGTTGAGGAAAATTATAAATTTAAATTTGCCGTGTTGCGACGCGCGGTCAAGCGCCACCTTTGCCACGCGCGCCATCACACCGGCCTTCAGGACAGCCGCGGACACCTTCGGAATTATACCCTTCCGGATACCCAATGAGCTTGTATCATGTCACGACGAGGTGGCCAATATGGCCACAATAAGAGCAACTGGGACGGCCACCGGCGTGCTGCCCGGAAGCGCTGTTGCTCCCAGCCATATTACCAAACTCGGTACCACACCTTGGAAACGCCGCTGCTGAAATCTGAAGCTCGCTCGTGGCCGCGGCGATATCCAAGGGCGGCTACTCGTCACTCGAGATATTTCGCATGTGCTCCTCTTGAATCATTGTAGAATAGACTCGATTCTACGAAGGAAGTGGATCTTGAGCAAGAAGCCGATTGAGAGGAACCACAGTGACTGAATGAATGGCTGAATTAAAATGGCAAATCTGAACTGAGATTGTTCAATTGTTGTGGAATTGCAAATTTGAATTAAAATGCAAATTGTCCAATTGAATTGCTGTTGAGCAATTGGCCGTATCTGAATTGAGCAATTGAGACTTTTGAGCAATTTTGGCCGAATCCGAATTCAAAACAATTGAGCAAATCTGATTTTCCTTTCCTTTTTTTATTTTCTTTTATTTTCTTTTTTTTTTTTTTNNGTGGCAATTGGACGAATTAAGAAAACATTGCTCTTTAGCAATTGAAGGATATAACACAGCGGCTGGACGTGGACGATGATCGGAAAAAAAATAAAAAATTATTGCTCTGGTACCATGTTAGAAACGAGACAAGAGAGATATGGTGACGGCCATCTTTTCTGATGATGCCGCTGCAAACAAACCGAAATATATATCCTAGCTTTAGGGTTTACAATTAACATAAATACACCTAAGGCTAATACAATAAATACAAATATAATACACAATAATAGATGCCTCAAGTCTCAGCTGCACCACGTCGAGGAAAGTCACGATCCGCTGCAGCCCCAGCATCGGCGACCGATCTCCAGCCGTCCTCGCCACCGCAGCCGCACAGCAATGACCGCACCTTGACGGGGAGGCGGAATGCCACCTCTCCGACACCAGTTCAAATCGCCGCCCCCTGAGCTGACGGCGCCCAATCCCATCACTGTCAATAGCCAATTTCGGTTTGGGGTAATTGAGTAGTTGGAAATGGAAGAAAATTGAAAGGGAAATTTGTAGAAGGAAATTTGCAGTGAAGAGGGTGAATTGGAGGAAGAAGAAACGGGGATCTGCGAAGGAGGAGAAAGAAAAGGAAAGAAAAGTGATGAGAAACAAGAAGAAAAGAAAAAGGAGGAAAAGAAAAAGGGAAAAGAAAAAGAAAAATGTATTAATTATCTCAATTAATCTTTCTATATTTAAACCATAATTAATAAACTTATAAAATCTGGTATATATACAAATATGTTGGGGTGATTTTGTATATTTGCAAATAACTATTAATTGGGTGTAAATATGTAATATAAAATATATATGATAGTATGAGTGTAAATTCCTCTAACAGAATAGTAGGATTTGGATCCAAGACACCAAGATAATGTCCAAGGCCCAAGCCTGTGCTCGAGCCCAACAGGTCGACGAGTGCGCGCGCGTGGCTGAAGCCAACACCTATACCAGGTGCATAGATTTAGTTGTTGTGACCAGCTCAAACTCTTTTTATTATAATAAATAGATTTATTCTCATTTAAGAGTCAAATATAATAGGTTACTTGATATTTTGATTCTCACAACCAATATTTTAGTGCTTATTGACTAACATTAATAATTTATTTTTTAATCATCTATGATTAATTTTAAAAAAATAAATATAACGTAGAATTTTTCTGCACCATTTAATTTAACTAAATTCTTATAATAAAAAAGAAGTTAAAATTGGTCAATCCCAATTTTTAATAACTAACTAGTGTGTAGCTCGTGCGATGCACGGGTAAATAATAATAAATAATAATTATAAATTAAAGATGATAGTAAACAATATTAACTAATAATTATAAATTAAATATGAGGGTAAACAATATTAACTAAGAATTGTAATTAAGATGTGGAGTTTATTTGTGACATAATTTATCGTATATCAGATGTAAACAATATAAAATTATCTTGTATAAAATAACATAGAAAAGATATGTTTAAAATATTAAAAACACCAAAAATATTATATAACGTATGTAAAATATCTAAAATTTTATATATCCTTATTGAAAGATGTGAAGTCACCTAAAATTTTTCTAAACTATTTTATAAATAAAGCATGTTAAAACTATTTTGAAAAAACTTGTCTGCAATATATTATTCAATTTCCAAAAGATGATGATAAATATAAGTTTGAATTTTAGAATCCATGTGAGTATTATTTTCTAGTCCGTGTACTATACAAATTATTCATTATGTTAATTTTCTTTGAACTTCATATTGATTTATTGATTCTATTTCATTTCCATACAAAGTTGATCATCTCATTTTGTTTACTATATTTTCGTGAAGATTTAACAAAGTCTATTGCATTTATAAAATGATTTGGATATCAACATACAATTTATAATGGAGTTTTCAGAATTGTGTACTATTAACAAATAATATATTATCATTAAATATATTTTTTTAAATGCACAATTATTGAGACTGAGAATTTGAAAATTATTTTACCTTTTGAAACCGAGTATAGAAAAAACAATAGATTGGTAAAAAAATAATTGATAAAAATTACCAAGTTTATTATCAATGTTCCAAATAAAAAAATTGTGATGATTAGTGGAAAACGACATTTAAAGAATAGCATTCAATATTTTTTTTGAAAGGCATAAATATAAAGACCGATATTCTAAATTTTTTATTACCTTTTGAATTGAGATTTTATAAATATAGAGATTGAGATTTTAATGTTCTTCGTTGTTTCTATTAAAAAAATAAATAAAAAAAATGCACACTTAATAGATCTTAGCTGGAACTTTTAAATAATAAAATGAATTAAAACCCAAAATTAAATGCAACATTTAATGTTGTATTATTTTTTAAAGATAAAAATAAAAAATAATAAAACTTACTATTTATAGATTGCATTAAATTCTCTCCTATTTTTTTGCTACTATTTTTGTTAAATGATAATTCTTATTATATATAGATATTCTAACATGAAAAACAGACGTTCATACGATACTATTCCATAAAATTAATGAAAATGATTTTTTATTCTTAAAAAAATCTTAAATAATTGTTTCCGCAGTAATTAAAGAATTAGTACGCAGGATGGTATGTAAAAACTTATAATGAAAGTTAATGTGGAAATTTCACACTTAATAAAACGAAAAATTAATACATTCCGTACATTAATTAATCATTATTGTAATATTTGTAATAATTTTATTTTTATGTGAATTTATTTAAACTATCATATAGTTGTAGTTTATGTTATTTGTATTCAATGTAAGGGAAATATAATATTTTGTTGATTGTGATATCAGAAAATCGAAAAGGTGTTCTATTAAACTGCATAGGGCTAGATAATCATGCTAATCCAATAAATTTAAATAATTTCCTACTATAAGATTATAATACAAAAAGGAAGTATGTGGAATAGTTAAACAGTTATACTATTCCAACAAACCTAAATAATTTCATATTTTAAAATTATAATATAAACAAAGTATGATATTCTACATTAAAAATGATCATTTTTTGTGAAAATAAATGTATATATCACAATTAGTCAATCTAATAAATTTAAACTTTTTGGATCTGTGGAATAAAAAATGTGTATGGATCAAACTTATTAACTACTCAATAATTACTGCACATTAAATTATGCGCACAATTAATGTGCAAAATTCTTATTCACTACAATAAATAATTTTGTACCATATATTCATATTGCACATTTCACATTAAACTTCATTTAAATGATAAGCCGTTCAATCATTGAGGATAGTTTAATTATTTAAGCATATATTGCAAAAGGTATAGATTTTTTTTTTCTTTTGTTCCTAAAAGTTTTAAGATTGAAAAAGACAAAATATATACCATCTCGGAATCCATTTTATGAAGAGAAAATCCAAATAACTACAAGCTTACAATAAATTATTAAATTAGACTTTTTCCAAAAAGCCTAAAAGAATGGCTTTATGACTAGGCTTAATGTTGTGTCGAATTTCTTGGCCGTCGACATTTTATATTATATAAATTACAAAGCCTAAGATATATATTGAAAAATCATGTACCAAATTCTGCTAGACGTATAATTAATTGCACCAGGTAAATTTGATATATGTCATAATCCTATTAGTGTTAGATATATGATTTTTTAATTGAACTCCAAAATCCGAATATTTATAAATCACTTATATAACATCAATCGGATAATAACATTTAATTTACCTGCTTGTATTAATCTATATATATATATATATATAATAAGAATTACTATCTATCATTATATAAAAAAAATAATTTTCTTATAAATTTAAAAACTTTTTCCCACCAAAATCATTAAATATATCCTAAATATAGTAATTGTTGAACAATTGTGAATAAGCACAAAAACCGGCTCTTTAATTGCATTGTTTATAAAAAAGACTGCGCAGCCCCAAATCCCTCCGAACCCTATCTTCTTCTCCATCGTCTTCCGCCAAATTCGCCCCTAATTTGTGCCTTCCCCGGCGATTAGCCGCCCCTGAGCCGGCGGATGGTCTATAGCCTCGTCCTCTTGCTCCTAGTCCTCGCTCTCCCGTGCTTCTGCACCGATGGCGCTACTCCTCCGCTGTCGGTAGGTCTCGCTGTCCCTAGCACGCCGGTGGTCCTGCCTTCCGCTTCGCCGTGTAGAGTCACCGGTGGTTGGCTGTTGGTCGGCTTCGGCTCTCCCCGGTCATCGGTGGGAGGTCGTCAGCTGCGTGTCTGGTTCGAGGTGGGTAGCTTTTTGGAGGTGAGTGGGTGGGGTTTGGGTGCGACCCTGGTGGTTGGCTCGTCTGAGTCAAGTCGACCGGGGCTGGGATGATTAATTGGAGCTCCTGTGGAGATGTACGTTTGTTGGTCAGTCTTGGGCAACTAGCGTATGGGGGTCTGATTGTTGTTCCTCTGGCTATGGATCGGCTTCATCCTTGGAGTGGCTCGGGGTTCGGGACTCGTCCTTTGCTAGGCATTAGGCAGTGGCGGGAGCTGCGTTTCGAATCTCGGGTTATGCTGTGGATGATTGTCTTTAGTTCCTTGGCGCCTTGTGCTGGGATTGGTTAGCTCGCTGTGGAAGGGCTTTGTTCGTTTGTCGATAGATTAGGATGTCTTATTTTTCTCTTTGCGTTGTGCTTGTGTTGATTAGGATGTGTGTTTTTGGTTTGGGCCGTTGGCCTCTGTGAGCCCGAGTGTCAACTTATTATCCTGTTGGGATCCGACACTTGGGTATTACTCCGTCGGGGTCCTTGTAGTTTGTTTTCGTGGTTTGTGTTCTTTAGTTAGTTTAGTTTGAGTGTTTTTATTCTAGCGTTGCTAGCCGGGATTCTAGGCGGTCTTCTGACCTGTCCTCCCACATTTCAGCTGTTGGCTGCTGAGTATTCAGTCGTTGACTGCTATGTATTCGCACATTTGTGCATTTTGATTTATAATATTATCTATCGTTTTGGAAAAAAAAAAAATTGCATTGTTTATTTAATTCAAGCTTGCAACAATAAATCCGATTGGCTTTTGATTTAAACTTTCCCACAAAAATCTCATAGCATAAATCTAAGTTCGAGTTTAAAAAATCTCATCTAGATTTAAGAAAATAAAATAAAATAAAAACCAATTCATAATTACTACTAGAAATCCATTATCTACAAGGCTAATTTTCATCGGTCTAATTACTAATATTTTTACAAATATTATAAGCTAACAATATATCCTCGAATAAAAAATATAATAACAATGGTGTGTAATAAAATTTTTTTAGATGGAAGTAACGCCATAAATTCGGTATTATCTGACATAATGACTTTATAAAATTATACTCATAATATTTTAGATACTTTAAATGAATTGTTTAAACATTTTTTTTTACATATTCGTCTATATATACATATGATACGTCAAATTTTCTCGAACCGCTAGACCGCTTCTCCGAGTTGGTTTGCCTTCCTTGAATCGC